GGAACTAGTTTAACTTGTTGAAATAGGGGATAATATGTCTCCTTTAACTCCACTGAGACTTTCTTTAGTTTTCCTGATAATTTGTATTTTTTTGCTGAGTATAATAAGATTTTTTTAAAGTTTGGCACCAGTTCCTGGGACTATGAATTCCTCCTTGTGGTCCTCTTTGACACTGACTTATTGAGGTGTTTTGGAAATGAAATCCGGTGCGTTTGGCCCCGTGTGTCTGCGTGGTTTCGGCTCTGGGGACGCCTGTTGACCAAAGCTTGTCACAGACATTACATTAGGAACACCAGGGAACTAGGTTAACTTGTCGAAACAGGGTATAATATGTCTCCTTAAACGGATTTCAAAATATTCTCACAGCAAAGCGCCCGTGAATCCAAAAGGAGGGCGTCGAAGGAGGCCAACGGTCTGGCGAAGGACGGCCAGGCCGTGGGTATCCACGGTAACGGGGATCCCGAGTCTGGAAACGCGTGCGATGAGAGATGAAACCGGCCGAGACGCTGCGAGGAGGAAGACGAGCTAAAGTCCACCGGGGGAGGACGGTTCCACGCGGACAATTTCTGCTCATGACTTTTTGCAGGATTCCTGGTTGCCGATGGCAACGACTGGCAACGCGAGCACGCGCTTCCGCCTCCATCCAAAGACCTCCGGACGCTGCGTTTTTTGTTGTGCCATTGCATGCGTGAGGAAGAGAGCGGTTAAGTGTTCACACCATGCTTTTTTCTCCCATGCTTGTGGTACCAGTCAGGGAATGTGTCACTGTGTTGAGAGGACTCAAAGAGAAAAAAATCTGAGAAGCAGAGGTAGCCCCGTGTGCACATGCTAATCACAATCTGCACATTAAACGTGTTCCATGTGGGGCCTGCTTTAGTTCTTTGTGCTAGTATACTCCTTTTTATTGTCGGTGTGGGAACCGCTTCACGGTTCTGTGAGTGAGTTCCGTTAAGAAAAAACAACCTGAAGTGCTTTTCAGAAGCTGAAATTCGGATGTTTGAAGCTTGAGGGCTAAAGACTGTACGCTCCAACCTTTGCAAGATATATACGAATATATTTTTAAACAAAACTAACCCCGCATGTGCCTACAAATTTTTGTTGATTTGAAATGTATTTGTGTTTCCAATCTGTTCTGGATGTATTCAAACAGGTCAGCTTAATTATCGAGTGTTTATTCTTTTCCACGTTCTATTGTAACTGTGTTATTATACTGATCTGTGTGTATAAATTACTCTGATATTAAGTTGTCATTTCTAATAAGAACTCTCTGCTTTGACGTGATTAAGAACAAGCCATGCAACATAAGAAATCTGACTTATCCACAACAAATCGTTCAATACCTCAGGAGGCAGTGCAGGAAAGCAAACAGTGATCAGCAGAGGGCGATGTCCACCAACGGTTTAACCAATTTAACTTATTTTGGAGGAGATACGTTTCAGCTTGGCTTAAGTGTGAAGGAGGACATCTGCTGGTCACGGAGATGCTTGTATGTGGTCAGAAATGTTTAATAACGAACTCAGACTATAACGGGGAACATTTTAGGACCACAGAAGAGGTGGAAAACCACCTTTTTAAGGCACAGGATCTACCTTGTTTTTCTCTTTCATTAAAGCTGTTGCTGGCTTCTTAAGTTGTGAATCTCAGCGAGTGTGTTGTGTGTGAAGTTATTTTTCACAAGAAAAGAGCAAAGACCACAGCATCTTCCAAGGGTTTAAATGTGCATGTGGCCCACACAGTTGTTGAATACAACAGAAAACATGCCTAATACGATTACTCACCATGTTTCTGTTAAAACCAATGGAGAACTGCAAAAGTGAAAAACATTGAGAATAATGAGAATCCCCGAAAAGGTGATAAAACTGTTTATTTATTAAACCGTCTTCGTGAAAGGAAAACGAGCTGTTTTTCTCATTAAAGTCACAGTTCATGTTAATCCGATTGTGAATCTGCTACAGTCAGCGAAGAAATGAGCTGAAGTTGGAAAAAAAAGCATACCGTAAATAGTGGATGAGAATTACAGGGAGTGACTCACTTTTTCTCCATCCACAAGATTTTTTTTAACATCAACTACTCATCACGGTCAGAGTTAAGTGAAAAATACACAAATTCCTTTAATTCCTTGAAAATACAAGCTCATTGGGATACCAGGAGACAGTCCTTCCTGTTTGACTCTTTACTCTGACGGCTACTATCAAGGGAAAGATTGCTTTGCAGGGAAATTCATATTTAAAAGCTGTGAGAAAAACCTGTACAGTTGTGTTGTTTTTTGTTTTCAGGTGGCACCTGGTTTTTAGTTTTCACGACAAAGCGGTACAGAAAATGGATGCATATATACATTTTTCCCCCTTATATTCCACCTTTTGACATTTACTGGTGCCATAAAACAGTCCACCGCTTCAATTTAACCCTGTAATGCCAAATGTATCATATTTGATGCATATGGTTTCTGAAATGTTTTGCGTCTGACTCCTTTTGCATAATTTAATGGTAAAAACTTTGCTCAAAATCCTATTGTACACAATCAGATACACCTGATAACAGGGCGCAGAAGACTACACAGAAAATAATCTTGACTTATCGCATATTAATAATTATTAATTATTATTAATATTAAAAATGTATACATAATTTGTTAAAATGGCAAATAAGGAATTCAAACAAAAAAAAGTAATTTTCTGTTTTATTTTATTCTTGGATCAGGCTTTTAAAGGGTTAATTTAAATCGAATCACACAAATTCTCATTTGTAATCTACGCATTTTACAGTAACAAACCGTCTATTTCCTCAAACATATTTTGTTAAAGGGGCAAATAAGGAATTCAAACAAAAAAATAAGTAATTTTCTGTTTTATTTTATTTTTGGATCAGGCTTTTAAAGGGTTAATTTAAATCGAATCACACAAATTCTCATTTGTAATCTACGCATTTTACAGTAACAAACCGTCTATTTCCTCAAACCTTTACTCTGAAGGGCTGATTTTACACCGGAAGCTCTGAGCGTGTTTCCGGTGCGGGGAACAGGGCGGGCGCTGGGACCCGGGGGCGGCCTTCGGGCTGCGGCTCTATCTGAGCCGTCGGGATCTGGTCTGGATCTCCAGTCCGCGCAGAGCCACCGCGCGCGCGGCCGGTTCTCCGCCACACGCGCACGCACGCTCTTACGCACGCACTCACGCACATACGCACGCACTTACGCACTTATACGGACGCTTTCCCTCTTATGTTGTGACTCCGCGATGCTCTGATTATGGCCAAGCGACCGGGGACCGACGACGGGATGCAGACTTCGCGGAGCCCCGTGCGGGATTTCGCGGACGTGGACGCGGACGTGGACGCGGACGTGGACGCGGAATGCGGTTCTGGATCCGAGGACGTGTCCCTGGAGCAGATCCTGGCTCTTTACAGCCAACCGATAAACGAGGAGCAGGCGTGGGCCGTGTGCTACCAGTGCTGCCGGGCTCTGGCCCGCAGGCACCGGGGGAGAGGGTCCCGGTCCTCCCGGTCCTCCTCCCGGTCCCCCTCCCGGTTCCCCGGGAGGATCGAGGGCCCCGGGGACGTGCGCATCCGGAGGGACGGGACCGTCAGGCTGCACTCTGCCCGCGCAGGTAACCCGCAAGATAAAGCCGGTTTAAATCAGAATCAGAATCAGAATCAGAATAAGGTTAATTGCCAAATAGGGTTTTTAGGCTCACAAGGAATTTGTTTGCCTTGGTGTTTGGTGCACAACACAACACTTCTATGAGAAGCAAGAAATAAAAATATAGGATAGACATGATAAAACTGAAAAACACAATCTTTAAAAATATAGATCCGAATGTACAAATGAACAATCTTTAAAAATATAGATCCGAAAGCTACCAGGGGACCCCACAAAAGAGGCCCTGTCTTCCAGCCATGTGGCCAATTTTGTTTACAAGTGCACGATTCTTAACAACAAACCCCAGCTGGTGGTGCCCCCCCCCCCCCAACCCGGATCAGCACGGTTTGCTCTCTGGTTATCCACAGAACCCACGGGGTCCCTGTTTTTGTTACGTCCACGGGCCCAGTAAACACAGTCACGTGACGTGTCCTAAATGCGGAGAATTGGGGGTCCTGGCCAAAGCAAAAAAGCCCAAAGTGAGGATTGGACCACGGGCAGATCGGTTTCTGTGACCCGTTTTCCGTTTTACCAGCAGATTGGAGGAGGAAAGGTGGGGGGAAAACAGCACTGCGCATGCGCCAACTCAATGGGGTCCATTAATCGGTTCATTGATAATAAAACTAGCCTGATGCTGTGGAGCTTGTTGTGCTTCAGACTACCGCAGATTTCTCACTTTGTGGCCTCATTTGAAGCCAATAAGAACCTGATTTACTGGGACTGGCCTCAAAGGGTTGCCGGCAGTGGAGCATCCTACTTTTTTTGGGGAGTTTTAGTGACTGTATTTGGTCGTCAGAAGTAAAAAAAAAAGCAGCTTAGCTTGTGTTCTGGAGTGTTTTCAGAGGCGAGCCCCTTTTTGGGATCACCTGCTCAGGTGAGCACAAGGCCTCAGAGGGTTTTGGCCTCTTAAACTGCATTCCAGTAACAAGTGAGAGCTCCAGGTGTGTGTGTGTGTGTGTGTGTGTGTGTGGCAGCCTTAGGCACTGAGCTTGTCTCTTTATTTGCATTTAGCCCCATTCCTCTGATTGGGTGTTTCCCACCTTCACCTCTGGGCTCCGTCCCGGTGGATTCACCGAACAAACAGATTCAGAAAGCGTTGCTCGGGTGTCTTTGCACCTCCAGAAATAGCCGCAAAGTGAGGACTTTATGCACACATCTCTGAGCTCTAAAGGGCTGATGAGTGTGGGGATTGTTTTGCTGGCGGAGGTATTTTGGGACAGCCTGGGCCCCCGTCCTGATTCTTATTAGGCCCGGTGATGAGAAAGATGTGAGACCCATTAAGCCTTTAGTCCAGTGCCGGTATAGGAGTTTTCTTAACCAGAAAAAGACAACATCCACGCTTATGCAACCGTCATACGGCTCCCACACGAGTCCCCGGATAGGTGGCATGACCTGCTGATATGAGGCATCGTTAAAAACCCAAGCTGCTATTTGGTCACATAAGGAGAGGTTTATTTTATTTTTCTGATGCACGACAGACACGATCCGGCCGGACGAGTCTGAGGTTATTTTTGGGTGGAGAGACTTGAGAGACTGATGTCAGATCGATGAATGAAGCCAGGATGAAAAAAAAAGGATACCGCAGTTATATATTAGATTATAAACCAGCAGATCAACTGTCTAAATAGGAAAGGATCCTTTTTTGTTTGGTTATATATTAGATTAAAAACCAGTAGATCAACTGTATAAATAAAAAATGATCCTTTTTTTGGGGTTATATATTAGATTAAAAGCCAGCAGATCAACTGTCTAAATAGGAAAGGATCCTTTTTTGTTTGCTTTAATATCAGATTAAAAGCAAGTAGATCAACTGTCTAAATAAAAAAAGATCTTTTTTTTTTTGGTTATATATTAGAGTAAAAGCAAGTAAATCAACTGTATAAATAAAAAAGGATCCTTTTTTGTTTGGTTATATATTAGATTAAAAACCAGTAGATCAACTGTTTAAATAAAAAATTAACCTTTTTTTTGGGTAATATATTAGATTAAAAGCCAGCAGATCAACTGTTTAAATAGGAAAGGATCCTTTTTGTATTGTTATATATTAGATTAAAAGCAAGTAGATCAACTGTCTAAATAAAAAAGGATCTTTTTTTGTTTGGTTATATATTAGAGTAAAAGCAAGTAAATCAACTGTATAAATAAAAAAGCATCCTTTTTTGTTTGGTTATATATTAGAGTAAAAGCAAGTAAATCAACTGTACAAATAAAAAAGGATCCTTTTTTGTTTGGTTATATATTAGAGTAAAAGCCAGTAAATCAACTGTATAAATAAAAAATGATCCTTTATTTGTAGTTATATATCAGTTTAAAAGCCAGTAGATCAGCTGTGTAAATAGAAAAAGGAACCCCCTATTTTGTAGTTATATATCAGATTAAAAGCCCGCAGATCAGATGTCTAAATAAAAAAAGGATCCATTATTTTTGTAATTATATATCAGATTCAAAGCCAGTAGATCAACTATCTAAATAAAATAGAAAGGATCTTGTTTTTTATAGTTATACTGTATATCAGATTAAAAGCCAGTAGATCAGCTGTCTAAATAAAAAAAGGATCCATTATTTTTGTAATTATATATCAGATTAAAAGCCAGTAAATGAACTGTCTAAATAAAGGTCAGAGGTCAGGGCCCCTAGTCTCCCCTCCTTTATTATCAGATCTGATCGACTCTGTTCAGAGTATTTGAACTCATCATGCCTCCATTACATTGTTTAGTGAAACGTTTGAGCTAAAATTGGTACTTTTTTGTCAGAATGACTGCGAATGTTGATAAAAACTGGTTTGATTTCAGACTCTGGACCGGGACCAAAGTCTGTCGCTGAGTCACTGTACGAACTCTGATCTGTGCCCTTCGTTTCTCCAGCATTTATCCCTCGTTCCGTTCAGTATCTCTGCTGACTTTGGCTCATGAGATAGAATCATATCTCTCTTTTTGAATTACTTTAGAAAAGTTTCTCACCTTAGTAAATGTTTTTAATCCAAAGTAAAGTGTAGGAATGCCAATAATTGTTAACTTTTACTTATACTGCATCATATGTGGATTATCAGTGTTGGAAAAAGATTATCTCTGTGTACTTTTACTAGAAATTCTTGAAGCACACTTTATCAGAACAGGTATTATCAGCGGGGATAAGATTGTCAGTGTTTAGATCTCGTTTTTTTTACTTTAAAGCGAAAGTTAAAGAGCTAAATTTATGTATCTGGGGTTAATTGTTTTTTCTTTAAGAGGACGTTTGCCGTCCACAAACACTTAAAGCTAACGTGGCTAACGTGAGGAGAGTCGGATGTCGGGCAGTCCCTTTTTTTTTATCTGACTTTCCATCTTAAAAAGATTTTCCACGAGAAGGGCAAAGGTTTGCCGCTTAGCTTCACGGCGTGAATCAACAACCGTCTCTCTGTGAACCCTGAGGGGGAAAGTTGTGCCGCAACAACTTTCTGGGGCTTCTGGATGGAAAAATAATGATTTATGGAGTAGAACAGTAATCTGGATGTTCGTCCACGTCTCATTCCCTTTAAGCATTTATGTCCCGTAGCTGAGTGAGAGGCGTGTGTGCTAAAAGGAATGATTCAAAAGGTGTGTCTCCCAATAAAACTCTTTTCTCTGTTGTGTCATTACAGATAAATACCAGCCCGCTCCCACGTCATTAGAGGTGAGTTCAAACCATCCCCTTTAATGCTCACGCCCGGAAAGTGATCCTGGACTGTTTGTGTTCATTCCAGTTTAAATTCATTTCTGTCTGCTCTTGTTTTTTTTTTAACCCGTCTTCCACTTACGTCAACACACGAACACAATGTTTCCCAATTTGTTGACACTGTTTCCCGCCGCTAACGCGGTCGGTGTGTAATCCTGCCACAGAAATGCTGGCAGGCCTCCTCCGGCTGGCTGTTTACGCACAAACAAACCCTCTGTTATCGGCCAAAACACGGTCAATGAGCTGGAACCCATCATCAGGGCTCCAGGGGAGAGATTACGATTTTTTTTCTCAAATTTTGGGAAAATTCTTTCTCATATTATTTATTTCTTTTCTCAAATTCAGGGTTTAGATACAGGGTTTGTTTTTTTTCTCCTCAGGTTAATGCAAAATTAGATCATTAAGGTCAGTGAAGGGATTTTTCCCTGTCTTTTTCTTTTCGAAAGCTCTCAGTAATGCTCTTTAATCCAGACATGGAGCCGTTTATGTGTCTTTATATTGTTCTTCTGTTGTTGTTACAGTGGGGGAAATAAGTATTTGACCCCTTGCTGATTTTGCAGGTTTGCCCACTTACAAAGAATGCAACAATCTATAACTTTAATCATATGTACATTCTAACAGTGAAAGACAGAATCCCAAAGAAAATTCCAGAAAATCACATCATATGAATTTATAAAAAAAATGATAACCATCTGATGAGGAAAAATAAGCATTCTTCGTAAGTGGACAAACCTGCAAAATCAGCAAGGGGTCAAATACTTATTTCCCCCACTGTACTTTCCTTTATTCTGCTTGAATAAGGGAGAATAAAGCTTATGAGAGTCAGGCCTGCCCGGTGTGTGTTTGGCCAGAGAAACTAGCCTCTTGGCCTCATCATGTGGACACAGAGTCTCCAGACAGCCCTTCCTGTCTGTCCTGTCGTTCATGTGATCCCAGGCATGCACTCTGGGTGTGTGTCGGGCCTAACTCGGCGGAAAGTCGAATTCCTTGAGCTCAGCTGACAGCCGGCGTGGAGGAAATCTCGCGGCCGAACGGCTTTGGCTGGAGGAAGAGCCGAAACCGGCTGCTGTGGCCATTTAAGTTAACTTTTCGTCATTCACATGTTCTGTTTAACTCATTGGCTGCCAAAGACGTCTATAGACGTCTTTTATGTTTTTCAACGCGAGTGGCTTGGGGGACGATCTGCTAAAGCTTGTCCGTAAATATCGGCTTCTAGACAGAGTATGTAGTAACAAACTGACCCTCTAGGGGGCAGTGCCACTTTTGATGGGAGATGAGCATAGACTGTAGGCAAATAAGAAAAAGCTAACGGTTCTATGAGAGAACATGTCGCCGGTGAGACGCAAGTCGAGGAAGAACGGAATAAGGTAGAAACAATTTTTTTTCCTGATGAAAGAAGAGAGTCTACTCTTTCTTTTGATGTGTTCGGTGTTTACATAGTCATAGCACAAACTATTCTGTGGCTCTGGAAAAATCAGTCAAAATGCTCAAAAACTCTGGCAGTATGGGACTCTCTGTTCTGAAAATGGCTGGCAGTCGATGAGTTAATTTTAAATAGTTGAAATGTTTAATTTGCACAGAACCATTTTGAATTGAATTATTGGGATTTATTTGGTGATTTTCCAAGCTCCTCCCATTAATTTGGAAGAGTTAAAACAGCCAGGGGTTGTGGTTTGGAGGGGGAATGTCAGGTGTGATGACGGGAGGTTTGCCACAAAGATTTTTTGACCACGCTACACGCTATACTTTTGATTTACCTTTGTTACTTTTTGTTGGCAGCAAAGTCATAATGGATGGTTATAATTGTTTGTTATCTTCTTATAATTTTACAAAGAAATAAAGCAAGTGGGTCAAAATCAAAACCGACCTGTTGCCACCAACGGCCTTTTTTTGGATTGAAAGAATTTGGTTAAGAAAATCTAAATTCTTTTCCATCCGTTTGGCTGTGTTTTGGGCGTGTCTTTTTCTGCTTCTTGAACTTGACACATAGCGTGTGAGTCGGGACGGTAGTGGTTGAAACTCGGGGACGGAACGTGTCGAGGAAAATATGCCGTGTGTTTACAGCATCAGTCTTTGGAAACTTGGGCATAATTAGCTGGAGCAATGATGTCCAGCCGGAATCTCATTATGAAATCTCCATGTTCCACCCGCTTCTTCTGCCATGGAAAGCGATTTGAAGTGGTTTTAGTGTTTTTCCAACACAATGATTAGCGTGAACAGTGTTGGAAACACAGCCCAAGTTCAGGGATGGGAAAGAATAATATTTACCTGATGATGATAATGAGGAGTATTATCAAGATTATTAATAATCTATTTGCTTCAGTTTAACTCGCATGAGAATTTCTTTAGTTTTCCTGATGATTTGTATTTTTTTGCTGAATATAATTAGATTTTTTAAAAGTTTGGCACTAGTTGCTCGGACTATGAGTTCCTCCTTGTGGTCCTCTTTGACACTGACTTATTGAGGTGATTCGGAAATTAAATTCAGCGCGTTTTGAAAGTGATTTGAAGTGGTTTTAGAGTTTTCCCAACACGCTGATCAGCCTGAACAGTGTTGAAAACACAGCCCATGTTCAGGGATGGGAAAGAATAATCATTACCTGATGATGATGATGAGGAGTATTATCAAGATTATTATTAATCTATTTGCTTCAGTTTAACTCCACTGTGACTTTCTTTAGTTTTCCGGATTTTTTGTATTTTTTTGCTGAATGTAATTAGATTTTTTTAAAGTTTGGCACCAGTTCCTGGGACTATGAGTTCCTCCTTGTGGTCCTCTTTGATACTGACTTATTGAAGTGATTCGGAAATTAAATCTGGCGCGTTTGGAAAGTGATTTTAAGTGGTTTTAGTGTTTTTCCAACACGCTGATTGGAAACACAGCCCAAGTTCAGGGATGGGAAAGAATAATCATTACCCGATGATGATGATAATGAGGAGTATTATCAAGATTATTAATAATCTGTTTGCTTCAGTTTAACTCGCATGAGAATTTCTTTAGCTTTCCTGATAATTTGTATTTTTTTGCTGAATGTAAATAGATTTTTTGAAAGTTTGGCACCAGTTCCTGGGACTATGAATTCCTCCTTGTGGTCCTCTTTGACACTGACTTATTGAGGTTATTCGGAAATTAAATCCAGCGCATTTGGAAAGTGATTTCAAGTGGTTTTAGTGTTTTTCCAACACGCTGATTAGCCTGAACAGTGTTTGAAACACAGCCCAAGTTTGGGAATGGGAAAGAATGATCATTACCTGATGATGGTAATGAGTATTTTTTTGCTGAATGTAAATAGATTTTTTTAAAGTTTGGCACCAGTTCCTGGGACTATGAGTTCCTACTTGTGGTCCTCTTTGACACTGACTTATTGAGGTGATTCGGAAATTAAATCTGGGGAGTTTGGCCCCGTGTGTCTGTGGGTTTTTGGCTCTGGATCCAGTCTTTGGAGCTAAACTCTGGCCTGTGCAGACTCTCCCTCCCAGGCTCTGTTAGAAAAGCCATCCCTTACGTCACACGGCACGATAAGACTGGACCTCTTTGTTTACATCGGGGAAAAGTGTGGAAAGTGCGGGCTGCTCGGTCCACTCTGCACCTTCAGCCTCTGCCCAGCTTAACCCAGTTTGTCCTCACTCGCAGATTAAGGTGCGATTAGTTCCCGTATCCTATTACAGGCACTTAAGTTTGCCAGAACTGCTGAGCTCCCCGTAACTCAATTTTGTGCCAACTTGATTGGTTTTCCAGCATCAAACTCGAGGCAAAGCCCTGGATTTTGAACCGTATCCAGGTGGGCTGAATTTGGAAGTGAATCGTGATTCGTGGGGTCATTAAGTTATTTTTACTCGCCAAAAATTGTCCTGACCTGAAAAAAACGTTCACTCTAAGGCCCAGTTTTCCTGTCATGTTACAGTGGTGGGGGGGGTTCTTCCTGCTTTCGGACAAATCCATTTTTTCGATTTTTTTCGGACTTTTGAAAACTCCACCGAACTGGTTAATGTTACATTAACATTGGTTCCATTTCAACCGACTCAAAGGCAGAAACTGAAAGCAAACTCAGTCATGAGAATCCAATCATTCAACTTTTTTAAGTCTTTTTTTTTCGTTTCACACCCAGTGCTACAGATAGGTGCCGAACATTTCCTTCCTCTTGTGTGAAACTGTTGCCATAAAGTGCTGTGAGCCGTTAAAAAAAACAAACAAGACTAATTGATTTTTGGATGGAGAAAATTTTGAGCCACGGAAAAACTTTCTGACAACATTTAGATAACAGTCAACTTCCATTTTTCTGATGGAAGCTGACAGATTTTTCTCTTAATTTAACCGGCTCTAATTGTTGCTGATGTTTTTTCTCCAGTTTGGTGATTTTATGTAAAAAAATCACAAAAAATCTAGTTTTTTTGTTTTTTTTCTGGTGTTTTTTTCTAGCTTTTACTACAGCAGCATCTTGACATACTGTTGAGGCGTGTTAGGAGCTGCCTGACTTTTCTCCATACTTGGTCCTCCTGATTTCCTTCTTCTTCTTCTCCTTCTTCTTCTTCTTCTTCTTCTGCTACTGCTCGCCTCAGTGCTCTGAGTCACAGGCCTCCAGATGAGATTGTGCTGCACAATTAGAAGACAAAGCTGTGCTTTTTCCTTCTTCCTGCTCTGCCTTTCAGCTGCTGGAGACGCAGTTCTTCCTCATTCGTTCCGACTCGTTCCTTCACAGAATTAAACTGAACTAAAGCGGGAAGCTGCCGCATTGCAGCTCTGTCTGCACTTGTTATTGTTTCTGTTATTTAACCAGTGACTCAGACAGGGGTAGTTACAGTTTCAATTGAACCAAGAGAAAGTTAATCATCATTAGCCCTTTTTAAAAAAGAAAAAAAAAGCTAATTAAGTTGAATCCATAACTGAATTTGTTAAAGAGCTGCCATCTTCTAAATGTTCTCAAACAGGAAGTCTGGTGTGACGGGACTTTTTTTTTCTTCTATACATCGGCATTTACTTCCTGAATGGCCGCCTCACCTCACACGGGCGTTTGCTCATCTCTGCAGCACATGATGTTCACAGACGGATTATAACGTTACATAACGGGGCACTGAGCTGAGGGATATTTGTTTTGGGATCACCAGCCACACACACGGCGGATAAGCGCCAGCAGCCTGGCGTTTGGAGCGACCTTTGACCTGACGGAGAACCGGCCCGCTGCTGGTCATTTGAGCTCCGATATCCCAGCATACCTGCACATAGTAAACACACAAAAGGGCTCACGCATATCAGCCTGTGTCTGTTTGTTTAGCTGTTTTAAAAACCTACAGTGGGGGAAATAAGTATTTGACCCCTTGCTGATTTTGTAGGTTTGCCCACTTACAAAGAATGCTTGTTTTTCCTCATCAGATGGTTATCAATTTTTATATTCATATGATGTGATTTTCTGGAATTTTCTTTGGGATTCTGTCTTTCACTGTTAGAATGTACATATGATTAAAGTTATAGATCGTTGCATTCTTTGTAAGTGGGCAAACCTGCAAAATCAGCAAGGGGTCAAATACTTATTTCCCCCACTGTACGTGTGCACGTTCTGGGCAGGTTAATTTAAATATAATAATTTCCAGGCATGATGCAGGTTGTAGTTCAAGTTTTCTTTTTCTTTTTTGACATCTTGCTTGAATAATCGCTGCCGGCTAAACCGTCCCGTCTTCCCAGTTTTGGTGTTTTTTTGGTGAGAACCGTTGAACACGAAGAAAAGATGGTTGCCCCCCCACCCTGAGCCATGGTTCTGCTCCAAGTTTCTGCCTGTTAAAAGGAAGTTTTTCCTTCCCTGTGTCGCCCAGTGCTGCTCTTGGTGGGAATTGTTGTTCTTCTGTAAATAACTTCAGAGTCAGTCTGAGTTTCTCTGTTTGGAAAGCTGGGAGAAAACTTTTGTTGTGACGTGGCGCTATATCAATAAAATGGAATTGAATTGAAAACCGACAGACTGATTGACGAAGCCGTTCATACTATTTTACAAGACGTGTTGATCAATTTAAAGTTAAAACGTCTCTGTTCGTTCTCTCTCTTTTGAAATTTTTTTTATTTTTAAAGCTCAGATTCAGGCACCGCTGGACTCTGTGGGCTGACTCCTGCTCATGTTAGGGCTCCTAGAAATGGACGTTTAATAAACAACAAACCAGTCTTTTTCCGTACGAAGTTGAGGAAACTTGGAAACTTGTTAAGATGAACACAAACATTTGGGTCTATAAATACATTTCAAGTTCACACTGAAGACTTGTGTTTTCAAGTTTTGGATATTTTTATTTTTTCCAGAGTGGTGCCAAAAAGGCCATAAAGAGATTCATTGGTCGGCGGGTTGACACCCGTTTCTCAGTCTGTTTCTCAGCCAAAACCCAGCCGTCCGTGACCAGCCGGCGTTGTTGTGTTTGGGCGCCTCCCTTTTCCAACAACGCGCCTCAGAGCAGGAAGTAACGCGTCCAAAGGCCCGCCGGGCAAAGCCTCACGCTCTCTGAGACCTGTCTGGGCGAAGGTGGAGCTGAGTGGAGGTTTTAGCCCTGCTCAGCCATTGTCTGGTAGTCTGAAAGCTCAGCTCTGTTCGGCTTTACTCTGGTAGCCTCAGCCTTTAGGATGAGTCGTGGGTCAGATAATTGAGGAAGAGCGGTCACAATCGGGCTTTAGTTTAGTTTAATTTAGTTTTATTAGGATCCCCATTAGCTGCCAAATAAATGGCCACTAGTCTTCCTGGGGTCCTCACATGAAGAAATTATATTACATTATAAACAGATCATAAAAAATAACAATAAAAATCACAGTAGGAAATAATAAAAACATAAACAAGAGTAGACTATACAACAAATACACACAGGTCAGTTCATCTTATCATTTGCAGTAGTTCTGAAGACACAATATTACTGTTTGCAGGAACGCGGCCCAGTTTACGGCTCGGTTTTGAGGACCGGAGCTGTCTTATTCGTTTAGGGAACTTCACCGTGCTGCAGAGGGCCGGGTTGTTTGGCCACTGTTGGGTGAGGGTGGGCTGAGAGGTTTTTATTATGTTCAACAGTGGGTGATATTAATGGGAACAAAGAAAAGGCCTTTTTTTTTTTACCATCTGCTGGTAATGTGTGTAAAAAAAAGAACTGAGAAACAGTGTTTGTATGCCTGGATATATTTCAATACCCTGAATATCTGGCAGAAATATTGCTTAAGATTATAGTAAAAATAAGCAGATTGTGTTGAATCTTTTTTTTCTCCAGTTTGGAAGTGAGAGATAGGATAATGAAGGCAGCATCTCTTTGTGTTGAACCTCCTGGTTTCCTGTTCTGATGGAGGACGCTGCCTTTCTGTACCAGGATCCTGCTTTTCTCTTTGACCTTTGACCTGTTCGCCTCCTAGCAGATGCTATCAGACACTACTGTTTGAAATCTAAAGGAAAATGGTTTCAGACATTTTACACCAATCATGTTCTTATTGTGGAATTAAAATGTTGTAAATAAGACATTTGGACCCTCAGAACCAAATGAATTAAATCTGTAAACAGACATTTTAAATCTAAAGATAAACCCACTGAGCCTCTATGAAGAAAAACTACCTGAACCAGGACAATGTCTAGTTCTTAAACCTATCAGCTCCTCCTGATCCAGAGATCTGGACCAGAGCAGAAACCAGATAGAAGAAGAATACTTTATTGATCTCAACATGGAGAAAGAAGCTTTGGCTCTCAGGAGGTTAAACGTAAAACCTGTGAAATATGTTTATTTTTTTCTCTGTGCACAACCAAAATTTGAGGACGAAGTCTACTTCTTAAACCTATCAGCTCCTCCTGATCCAGAGATCTGGACTAGAGCAGAAACCAGATAGAAGAAGAATGCTTTATTGATCTCAACATGGAGAAAGAAGCGTTGGCTCTCAGGAGGTTAAACATAAAACCTGTGAAATGTTTATTTTTTTCTCTGTGCACAACCATCATTTTTTTAAATTTTATATATATATATATTTATTAGGCTTTCAGAATATAACATACATAAATCATACATGAGAGTATAAGTAAATATATATGCACATATACACGCAGACTTACATATCCATGTATATACGGTGTGTAACAAAATCCTGTATGAAAGCAGTATACTCTTATCAATCCAGTAACAAAAATAGAGATGTACAATAAGAGAAAAACAAAAAAACAGCTGAGCGAGTGTCTGTGTGCACCCTGGATGGGGAAAGATAATCCAAAACTGGCTGCCAGATACTACAAAACCTATCGGAGGAACCCACAACATCATATCGTAGCCTCTTCAAATGAAGAATCTCAGTGAAGTCGTTGCACAACCATAATTTGAGCTATAATATCTTCTCCTGCAGGTGATCGACTCCCTGGGCATCATGATCTACAAAGCGCTGGACTTCGGGCTGAAGGAGAGCGAGGAGCGGGAGCTCAGCCCCCCGCTGGAGCGCCTGATCGACATGATGACCAACGCCGAGGAGGCGGAGAGCGACCCGTGTCCCGACGAGGGCTACGAGGCCACCGAGGAGGAGGAGGAGGAGGAGGAGGAGGGGGAGGAAGGGGAGGGCCAGGAGGAGCCGGTTCTGGCCCCGCCCGCCTCGGTCAGCAGCATCCAGAGCTACCGGGACATCCTGGTGGTAGGTCGGAGGCTTATTTTCAAAGCGGGATTACTTTGGCAGTTTTCATTCCGTTGGAGAAGATTCCATTTTGGAAAGATAGATTGCAAATATGCGTAAATAGGGTGGTCAAAAGTATTGTAAATGTCTGATAAAACGGCATAAATAACACTGTGAAAGTCTGATAAAACAGTGTTTTTTGAACACATAAATAACACTGTGAAAGAGAATATAAATGCCGTTTTATCAGACATTTACAAGTATCGATGCTCGAAAAAGTATCGATACTAAAATGTTGTATCCGGATACGATACTCATTTTCAAAAGTAACGATACCCTTCTCTCTGATTTATTTATGTATTTATTTACGTTGTTTATGATCATTAACAAGACGTTAGCCTTGCTAGCTGCGGCTAATGGCTAATGATAACATGCTACCATTAATCAAGTACATATCCAACTCCGCCTACATCCAAGTCGGCCATTTTGATTAGGTCACCAATAGGAAGATCCCAGGCAAGAAAATCCTAATTGCCTCATGGCAATATAGACATTAATTTAATGCTTCTGTTGTTCTTCTTTTCAGAAACTGTTTGTATAAATAGTTTTTGAAAAACTTTTGAATTGAATTATTTTTAGTCCTGCGTGGATGACTAACTCTGCTCTGTGCACAGCATGAAAACAGGGAGAGAGAAGAATAAATATTTCTCCATCTGAGTTCTGACCGTGGCAGCTGATGTTTGCATCAATTATGAATCACAGGGAAATATTTGTTCTCTGTTTTCTATGATTAATTCCTCAAGCAGCTTCCTCTAGAGGGGTGACTCACCGTTTGTGTCACAGCTCTTTGTCAGATCGCGATGGATCGAAATGAGTAATCTTAAAATAAAAGTGGAAACACGCAGCCCCTCTTCTCCTCCGTCCTTTGTGTTTTTGTGTGAGCCAAATGGATGAAATCCCCTAAAACGCTCCATTTAAAGGTGTCTGATCAATGCCAAATTCATAAAAATATATCAGTTTGAGTAAAAAATAAATATAAATCTTAAAGAAATATCCTAAACTGTTTTAAACTGAAACGCTTCTTATAATTGTACATCAACATATTTTGAACTTTCACTCCTTGTAATCATGTTTTTATTTGGACAGCTTTTGGGCCTCAAGATGCCTTTTTTTTTTTTAAACATTTGTATAGACAATTTAGGAAGTTTGCTCAAATAAAAATTCAATTTGCCCCTTAGAGAGAGACAATTTACTTAGTTTCTAATTAATTAAATGTCCAGGCTGACATGAAACTGGTGAGGTGGTCTTGAAGGCCACATTGGTGCCTTCAGGATACAAAGATAAACTTTTAATATTTGTCTGTGATTTCTGGAGATGAAATCCCTGTCAGTGGAGAAATGAAATAAAGGAAATAAAAGAACTCGCCTCCTATCAAAGCCGGCCATCAGTTTAGCGTTTGAAATTTGAGCTCTGTCGTCAAAACCTGCTGCTAATTGTCATGTTTTCATGCCCGGCTTCAGCCAGACGGTGCACAGCCCAGCCGGAGACTCTCCGCTAAGCTTAGTAAATACTCTCACCTCTCAGGTGTTAATGCTCCCATGAGAATGCCTTCTGCTGAGTCATCAAAGCCAAGCCCTTTAGTCCAACACTCAAATATGCCATCGGTCTGGTTCCCGCTTTGTTCTGCTGCATGTAATTAGACTGGATTTTCAGGTTCGCAGCCCTGATGGTTTTGTTTAACACAGTTTTGTGGTTTTTGTCATCAATGCCGTCAGTGTTGAACTTCAGTCTGAGTTTAAATATTTTATTAAATACATTTCACAGCGACCAAGCTTTTCCACATGTGAAGTTTGGCTTCAAGTTTAATCTATTTACGGCCTTCAATGAAACGTGTTTTTAGGTAAATAAATACGGAGAGCTTCGAAACTAAATAAGTACAAAAGTCCAATCTTTTAGCCGTCTTACAGAAGTCAAAGTTGAGTTTTCGAAGGTGGAACCATCCCCGGTCCAGCTCTCTTGTCTCTTTTTTGGGGAATAAACTAACTACCGAAGAGCTGAAATCTAACCAGCCTTTCCCCGTTTCCTGCCCACAGATATGCTCTGCCCACCTGCCCAGCCCGTCGGACGCCCCGAACCACTACCAGGCCGTGTGTCGGGCCCTTTATGCCGAGAGCAGGGAGCTCAGCACCTTCCTGGACAAGATCAAGAGCGCCAAGGAGGTAAAAACGAGCCCCAAACCTGCTCAGAAAGTCAGCAATCTGAAGCCAAAGTGGGCCGAACGGAGGTTTCTCCCCTCCGAATCCCCGAGTGTTTGTGGTCTCCTTCCATTCCCAGTCGAAGACCGAAGCTAAATACTACAAACTTTAGCTTTTGTACCAATCATGAATGAACTGCTGCCTTTAACTCATTGACTGGCAGCCATTTTCAGAAAACAGAGAGTCCAATACTGCCAGAGTTTTTGGAGCATTTTTTCTGATTTTTCAAGAGCCACAGAATAGTTTGTGCTATGACTATGTAAACACCGAACACACCAAAAGAAAGAGTAGACTCTCTTCTTTCATCAGGAAAAAAAAATGTGTTCCTACCTTATTCCGTTCTTCCTGGACATGCGTCTCACCGGCGCCATTTCTCTCATAGCGAACCATTACGTTTTTTCTTATTTGCCTACAGTCTATGCTAATCTCCCATCAAAAGTGGCACTGCCCCCTAGAGGGTCAATTTGTTAGTACATACTCTGTCTAGAAGCCTGATATTTACGGAAAAACTTTAGCAGATCGTCCCCCAGCCATTCGCGTTGAAAAACATAAAAGACGTCTATAGACGTCTTTGGCAGCCAATGAGTTAAAGACGCCCCCAGACTCTGATTGAGAGTCTTACTAGTTCAGTTTAGAGTTCAAAACACTAAATCTGACATGATCTTGGTCAGTTCTAGTGTCCCCACATGTCTACCGGGGTTTACCAGCCGGGAAAAAATGTTTTAGAGCTGCTTTTGTTTGCTGTTTTTTCAAAAAAATCAAGCAGGAAAGAAAAGACACCTTTAAACGGATAAAAAATTATTAAAATAAGGACATTCAGTCAATTAATTATTGTATGTTTAGTGTTGTTCAATTCAGCTCCTACTTAGAGTTTTTCACATGAATGTATTAATTTTTAAGCTCAACCAGTCTTTGAAAAATGATTGGATACATTTGACATCCCATAACTTTGCGTGTGAGACGAGTCATCACAGAGACGTGATTCATGCAGGCGGTCTTATATAATATATGGTTATAGAAGCGAGTTTAACCTTGTTACAGAAATATAAGCAGCTTACCGCCTTACAGGGGTCAGGCTCGGCTACAGGGAGCACGCTGTCACCGGACAAAAGTTTCCATACATGACACCAAATATCACACATGCCAACAAATTACGTTACTTCAGTTTTTCTTTCATTCTTTTATTTTTTGCAGCGTTTTTTTGTTTTACGTCATTACACACCAGCTTCTTCTCGTCCACTTTATCTATTTATTTTTGTTTTTGTTTTCATC